AACAGAAATACCAAACACATAGTAGAGTCTAACATGCAGGAGGCCCCTGACACTGGGGAGCCCCTTTCATTGCTGACATGATTATCACAGTCATGAACTACAGCATATATGTCACATTAACACAAACTCCCATTGAGGCGGGAGCAAAGAAGCCAGTGTGTACGCAACACTGACGTGTACTTGTCAAGTTTCAACATAATATTAATCATCTAATCTCCCAGATAACATTATGAACTCTGTGAAAATGAAAACTGAAACTCAGAGAGTTAAGTGATTTACTCCTAGCTACCAGAGCTAGTACACAAGAGTGCTAGATCTGAATTGACTGAGTTCTCCAATATTTATTTAATATCTTTGATTCAGGTTTTCTCTGCTACAAAATGGGATGATTATTAGACTTCCTCTGTAGCCTTATTATAAGGATTAGATGATTCTTTGCCAATAGAAAGCACTTGCACATTGTTTGAAACAGTATATTTTCAATAAATGTAAACAGTTATTAGAATTATTATTCAGCAGAAATAGTATTTGACTAATTTGTTGCACTTTGAAGTCCACATTTTGAGCAGTCTGAGAATTTTACTATGTCTGTTGGGATGTCCTTAGTTGTATTGTCTGAGATAGTTGAGACTGAGAAAATAAAAAAATTGAATTAATAATTTAAAAAGGCTAATATGGTTATAGTACCATGATGGCAATGTGGATGTATTTAAACTCAACAGTGGTACACACTTCTAGGTACAAAGTGTTGGTGTAAGCACTTATGGAAACCCAATTATAAATGCAACCATCTCTGTCCTAAATAGAAAGGGGATTGAGGAAGATATGTAACTGTGACAATTTGCCCTGGGAATGTGGTGATGGCAATTTAGAGAAAGTTTTATGAGATCCCAGAGGAGGGAGCCCTTCAGGCCGATGGGAAATTTTGCCATGAGTATAAGGTTCTCCACGCAGGTGACTGACTGGGCCCTTGAAGATCTTTGCCCTTGAAATGTTCTAATCTGGGAAGAAAGACATAAACAGGACACCAAGAAAATGCAAGTTCCTATCTCATTTAGTTCCAGCTTCTGCAAGACAGATAATGCCTGCCCTAGGAGTTCTGTCATGAGTTCTGTCATGAGAATGCCTGGCTTTGAGTCAGAACTAAGCAGGGCTCTGGCTCTAGGGGAAAGATGACCAAAAAAAAAATTACAAAGGTCATAAAATTTAGATCAATATAAGGTAAGGGGTGCCTATTTATTGATCACCCCCAAGTCATGCAGCATGGTAATTTAATCCTCATGACGACTCCACGATAAGGTCACTGAGACTCAGAAAAAATTAAGCAACTAGCTGAAAGTCATAGGAACCCAGGTCATGATGACTCTGAAACATGTACTTTGAACCATCTTCACCCATTCAAATCATTTCCAATCTGTAGGGCTCTGCTTTGCTGTTATTCTTCTGACATCTCGCAGAAACTTATGTTCTCCCTGCTTTTTGAGTAATTATCAAATAAAATGGACATTGAAAAAGCATATCCCAACAGTGAAGAAACAGTAAAAGAAGTCTTAGGACCAAAAATTAATTAACTAATTAGTTAATATTCCTGAAACTTAAAGGAGTCCTGAAGAATGCGGCTGTGGATGAGAAGTGACCAAATACAGGGAGACTGGCAGAGAACTGTGACTATAGTCTGATAATCAGGGGCTTCATTATAGTTCAGATCTGTACACGATGTTGAGAGTCTTGAGTTCTTTCATTTTTCATAAAAGCAAAGTAAGATTCACAAATCTCATATAGCTAAGGTTAGAGCCCCAGTCACCTGAGTTTCAAATGAAGAGATGGAGCGATGGAGTAAAAATGTATAGCAGCACATGGTCATTGTTTATCAGTACTAAGGAATGAATGCAGTACTTTTGTTCTGAGCCATATCTTCTAGCCCTTCCCCTTTATATTTTTTTTAGTTTTGAGAAAGGGTCTCAGCAAGTGGCTAAATTGTCCCAGTTGACCTCAAACTTGCAATCCTTTTGCCTCTATCTCCCAGAGCTCTGAAGATAAATTGTTACATACAAATAAGTGGAAAGTTAGTTCATTGATGATTTACAAGACAACGGTTACCATTCATCTAATTTTGTGCACTCCATTAAGAACAAATAAATACATATGCCTATGCATACATGCATTCATAAAGAGTGAGAGTGGCTTGCAAGGTAACTGGAGGTTCAGTGAAGTGATGCATTGAAGGCTTTGCCAACCATTCCCCATGTATTTGGAGACTGAAGTCAGCAGTTAAAGGACCTCTAGTAGATGGACTTCTTGGTTCCTTCCTTTCCCTGACTGCCACAGAGAAAAGAAACTCAGAAGAAAAAGAAAGAAAGAAAGAGAGAAAGAAATAAAGGAAGGAAGGAAGGAAGGAAGGAAGGAAGGAAGGAAGGAAAGAAAGAAAGAAGAAAGCAAACAAACAAACTCGGTCTCCTCAATTTTGTCCTTAATAGCAACTGTGGAATAAATAATATTTATATAGCAATTCTTCAGCCGAAGAACCCCTGGAAATCTCCTGAGAAATAAAATTGTGAAATAGGTATTCCCATTTTACAGATAGGAAGGGGGAAGAGAAGGAAAAAGAAAGGCAGGGTGCAGACAGGCATGGGAAGGAATGAGCAATGAAAGTTAAAACCACACATTTTCACTGTTAATGGGAGAGCTGATAAAATCCCAAATATCTAGATGTGTTCAAAGCTACTGCCTACAACGATTTAAACAACCCATGGGAGGCCACAGTTCCCAAATACGTGACTGCCACAGTGAAGTGTGCCATAAGTCAAGTTTCATCTTCTGCAAGCAAGGGGGGGAGATCTGAATGACCTAACTGATGCTGCTCAGCCCAGCTTTGTTTACTGAATGGCCACTTTATAATTTACATAGGTAACCTGCAGGTTTTGAAACTGAGAGATTTTTTGCTTAGACAAATTCCTTGTCCGTGGCATTGTGCACACAAAATCCTTGTCTTCCAGCCACTTTCTGAAAACACAGTTAGGATATAATGTGATTTTCATTTATAACTGAAGAAACTCAGTTCAGACATCCTCGGCCTAAGACTCTAAGGCAAGTTTTTCCCACGTGAGACAGATCTGGACCTGGGCTCTCCTGTTGTCATAATGAAGTCATAATCCCCACATACTACATTCCCGCTTTTATGGAGGGGATGTCTGAGTCATGTGCCCATCTGACACTTCTTTAGATTTTTACCAGCACACACTTTCCCCTAGTTTTCTTTCCCTCTGGAGCATAAAACCAGGATCCCAGCTAAGGAATTGCAGCAGCCCTGAGGACAAGAGCATCCTGGGGGAAGAAAGTCCCAAGTTAGTGGAGTTAACCTCACTTCCGGCTTCCAGGACTGTATCTACATGCAAACCTCGCTCAGCACGGTTTTATCACTCCATTTTTTGAATAGCCTGGTAACTAATAATTTGCAAACCACCCTTGCTGGCTCATTTTGACTTATTAAACAGTTGGAGGGGAAAAAAAAGAAGAAGAACTATTTTGCCATAAGGGGGAGCTTTTGAGTTCCATAAAGAGGGGGAAAAGAAAAAAAAAAAAAAAACATATATACCCCAGCTCAAAAACAGATCTTCCAAGCACCAAATGGTCAGACCCTTAGCTATGACTTGCACAGTGTCAGAATTGCATAGGTGAACTTAGGGAAATTAGTATTTTTTTCTCTTTTCTTATATTAAAATAATTTCTAACAATCAACAGAATATTTATAAGAATAGAGGGGGAAAATTGGGAGACCTAGTTTTGCTGGGTCCACAGCTCCTGAAAGGCAGATGTCCTAGCAAATGCTTTTCCTCTGCTGTCTACTGCTAATTCCAGGAGGATTCTGGAAACAGTATTTAGGTTAGCTGAAGCCTGATGCCGGGAGCCGGCCTCACGGGGGTCAAGAAAGAGGGGACCGTGCATCATTGCATAACTTTAAGGGGAAAGGAGAAAGAACGGGAAAGCAGGAGAGAAACGAGGAAAAAAAGAGGGAGAGCGATGCAGAGAAGGGAGGAAAAGGGAGGCAGACTGACAGAAAGAAGGAAAAAGAAGAGAAAAGAGAGGGGAGGGAGAGAAAGGAAGAAAGGAGAGGGGAGAGAGGGGAAAAGAGCGAGAGGGGGAGGCAAGGAGAGAATATTTTTCAAAATCTGAGACTCAAGTTTCAAGACTTTATGTGCCATGGAAAGAGATGAGGTTTACTAAGTGAAGTGCAAAGGGGATCCTGAGAGGAGAGAGATTTTTCTCCCGCCAGGAGAGAAAAAAATAATAATAAAATAAAGGAAGGGGTGCAGAAGGGGGGGAAAGCAAGCAAAACAAAACAAAAACAGGAATGTGTGTTTTGAGCAGACGTGAGGAGGGCTGGGAGGACCATAAGGGGGTGTGTGCAGAATTTCATTAAATTGTTACTTTAAGATTGTCTTCTTAAAAAAAAAAAAAAAACAGAGGGGGTGGAGAAGCAGGAGTGAGGAGCGGCTGGGTAACTCGGCCTCTCCAAACTGATTGATTAGTCATGATCCCCGCAGTTTTTAACAGGGACTCACTCAATCGGGAAGGTGGAGCGCTCGGGAGCAGATTAGCATACGCTTGTTTACTCATCTTCTGAGGGATTTTTTCCCCCTCTTTCCTTTCATTTTGTGAAGAAGGAGGGAGGGGAGGGGGGAGTGGGGGGGAGGGGGCTGTGGCTTGTGTTATAAAGGACGCAAAAAATAAATAAATTAGAGCATCTTTTGGGGGGAGGGAATTGAGCGGATCGGTGTCTTAGAGGAGCTTTTTTTAAAGAGCGAGAAATCATATAAAATAAAATGAAATAAAACAAGGAGGAAGGCAACCAGCTGTTGGGGGGGGGGGAATAAGGCAGATAAAGAAGCGGGAGAGAAATTAATTGCCAACCAGGAGGAGTTGGACTGTATTTTTCAAAGGTGGGGGGAGTGGAGCACACACCTTGAGGAAGAAAGCGAGAAAGAAAAGAAAAAAGCAAGTGGAAGGGGGGGCTCGCCCCAGAAGGTGAAGAAGCGAGAAACTCGCGCGGAGGCTCCCAAAGCTGGCAGCTCCGGGCGGCGGTGCAGGGGCGAAGGGGGGGCGGGGGGGACCGTCGGACATGCGGCTCTGGAGTTGGGTGCTGCGCCTGGGGCTGCTGAGCGCCGCGCTGGGCTGCGGGCTGGCCGAGCGCCCCCGCCGGGCCCGGAGAGACCCGCGGGCCGGCCGCCCCCCGCGCCCCGCCGCCGGCCCGGCCACCTGCGCCACCCGGGCGGCCCGCGGCCGCCGCGCCTCGCCGCCGCCGCCGCCGCCGCCGCCGCCGGGCGGTGCCTGGGAAGCCGTGCGCGTCCCCCGGCGGCGGCAGCAGCGGGAGGCGAGGGGCGCCGCGGAGGAGCCGAGCCCGCCGAGCCGGGCGCTCTATTTCAGCGGGCGCAGAGAGCAGCTGCGCCTCCGGGCCGACCTGGAGCTGCCCCGGGACGCGTTCACGCTGCAAGTGTGGCTGCGAGCCGAAGGGGGCCAGAAGTCTCCAGCCGTGATCACAGGTAGGCGAGGCACCCCAGTCGGGCGCTGCACTGTCCCCGCACCCTAGGGGCGCGTGAGTGCCAGGGCGGGATGGCGGGCGGGCCCGGGGCTCGCGAGTGTGTCCGTGCGGGGACGCTCGGGACACGCTGCGAGCCTCACTTTGCCCCATCCGCGGAATGGGCGGGCGCGGACAGTGGCGCTGCCTGGCTCCCTGACGCGACTTGGGGCGCGCTCTTGGCAGATCCAGCCCCTCATCTGAGAGAGCTGGTCCGCGGGGAACCCACTGAGCGCAGCCCGCGCTCAGGACTTGCAGATGCGCTGTCTGGGTTCAGGAGGGAGGGCAATGACCCAGTTGGGCTGCAAGTGAAGGCAGGCTAGAGGCCCGCTGGTCTCCTGACTTTCTGACGGAGGTAACCCTCTGCGTTTGTCCCCATTAGCCAGAAAACCAGCAGGGACAAGGATGTTGGGGTAACCAGACTTAGAAGTCCTCAAAGTGTCCCAAAGTTGCTCTGTGCTCTAGTCATGCCTCTGGGACCCCCCTCTCCATCGCGCGCGCGCACACACACACAAACACACTGGCACACGCACACGCACACAGGCATATACACACGCGCACGCCCCTCATCCACACACAGACACTGTCATCTCATGTCCTTCTTTTCAAACCTGTCGCCTGTCACTCGGGCTGGGGCGAGACCTTCCTAGCGCACAGCCCGCCAGCCTTTCTCAGAGTCCGCTGAGAAATGGGGCGCTTTTCTCTTTTGGGACCTTTATGAGCCGTAATGAATTTGAGTTCTCCCTCCTCAGCCTCGCTCTCCCCGTGCTCTAGGCCCTTCCACAGCAAAACCCGTAGTGAAACCGGACACAGCGAGGGTTGCAAACCTTAGAAATGTTCCAGCATCTCCCCCGCCCCCAAACGAATCTGTGGAAACGTCTTTAATAAAACGGGGGGCGGCGGCGTGGAGAAGGGGAAAGTTTTGCCTTGTGTCTTGGAGATTCCCTCCTGCACAAACAGTCTTGCCTTGTCCTGGGACGTTTCAAAGTGAGAATAGGGCTTCCCCCTTCGCCGCAGCCAGGAGATTTACCCCAGCGCTGCGCGATCCCACCCCCTTACACACACTTTCTTAGGAGGGAAAGCTCCGAGCTCCACTGGCAGTCAGGGCTCTGTCTTTCTTTGGCGTAGACTTTCTCTAACATTGCATGGACTATCTTATTTATATAAAGTCCATTTCGAGGGTTCGCAATCTATTGTTATACCAAGAAGATACCGTCTCAGAGCCCCCACTTTCTAAGTACCAAAGGAGAGCAAGAATGACTTACACGCGCGCGCGCACACACGCACACACACACACACACATACACACACGCCCCTGACGTCATCGCGTGCTATTTTCCTCTCTTTCCACGGGGAGGAGAGGGAAACCGAGCTCGTTCACATTTGGCTTCCAAACCCTGCTCAGCAGAGGGTATGACAGGGAGCAGTAAAGCCCGTATTCAGAGTAATGGTGATGATGCTGGTAATTCAGGATACGTGGTACGTGTCCTGCTCTTTCTAAGCATATGAAAAGCACAGTCTGCTGTGTGGAGGCTAAAAACAAAAATGAGTCCATCTGGCTTTTCCTAGTCCTCACCTGGCCTGTCAGCGATTTGGAAGGCGTGCCCTTCGCGAACGGGGTACAGGTATCATCAATGAAAAGGTTGTGGTGTATTTATGTCCTCGGTTCCACGGGAGACTGCTTTAGAAGTATCTGTAACTCAGACAAGGGTCTCTCTACACATCGTTCTCCTGAGCACTTATTCACTCGCACACAAAGATTGTTGCAGTAAAATACTTTAATTGGATGGGGGAACATTAGGTTATTATTGCTTGTGTAAAATGCCTGGTCCATTTTATGTGTGGAAATAACATTCCTCTCAAAAGGAAAAAAAAAAAAGAAAAGCACGGCTGTCGTGTAGCACCAGAAAGCCAGGAGCTTTTCTCCCGAGGATTCTGGTGGATTTTTTCCCCTCCCCTAGTTGAGTCCGAGCCAGATTTGGCGGTGTGTAAACACCTGGCCGCGTGCCAGAAAAGACTCATTCTGCAGTATCCTCCACACGGTGCAGACTGTTGGACTGAAAAGAACCTGCTTCTCCTTGAATTAAAAAGCAAACAGGGGTTCTTTGCAGAAGTACTTTTTCAGCTCCCTCCTGTACGGAAGTTAGGGCTGGAAGAGACAGGTCTGAAGTGGGCGCAGAGGAGCATCCTCTAGCTGTGACCTGGGGAGCCCAGGTGGCTGCCTGCCCTGCTGACTCTTACTAGCTGGGCACACAGGCACGCAGCCTTCTCAGGAATCCCTGGTCACCTATCTTGAGAGCTCAGCAGGGACCGCACTGCTATTTCAGGCAGAGGGCTGCTGCCTCTTGTCAGGCCAGGCTTCCTTACATCACTCTTTGCTGCAGGATTCAATTGGGTTTCATAAACGTCTAATTTTACGGTGCTGTTAACCGGGTCTGTCGTCTGGCAGAGGCAGGCCTTGATGCTCCTGGTAGGTGGATGCTCTCCCAGATCTGCCTGCCCGGGGTGCTACTTCTGCCCTGGTTCAAACTACACTGACAGAGGTTCACACAGGCATCCGGAGAGGTAGGGGGCGCGGGGGAAAGGAGCACTTTGCTTCTGGAGCTCAGAAAACAAGGCTGTTACTTTTCTGAAAGGGAAAGAGAAAATATCTGTATATTAATAAATAAAGAAGGCAAGGTTCATACAGACCAAAACAAAGCTGAAGCTAAAAGTGCATGCGGGATTCTTTTGAGAGCCCTGGGCAGCAATGAATACTTCTCTAGCCTTGAGGGATCCTTTAAGGCTACCGTAAGAAAGATCTACCAGGTTATGCATGTCAGTTATCCTTTTGACCAAGGGGGGAAAAGAAACACAGAGAGATGACAGTGCTCCTAGGTAGAAGGAAGTAGGACTTAGTCCCTGGCATCTCCACTTCCAGGCCTTGCCCCCTAATCCATGGGAGGACCGCTCATAAACGCCATCACCTCTCACCCCAAAGACCACCCCTGGGCCACAGCCCTCCCCTGTGGCAACATGAGCTCCCTTTCAAGTTGGGCTGGGGGAGCTACTTCAGACACATCCAGTTGCTTTTGTACCACACTAGGCCACATCCAAACCCCCTGCCCCTCATCCCCAACTGTGCCCCCTACACCCCTCCATCTGGAAGAAAGAGAAAGAAAACAATAGACTCAATTTTCTCCATGGAGCAGAGGCCCTGAGCAGCAGTTAATCTTGTTAAAGTTTCTCCTGACCTGTTAGATAAGTGAAGTGCGGACCCCACAAGTGTTGCCCTCCTCCCACCCCATCCCTACTCCCCTTCCTTCAGGGATTGGAATGCCTGCTCAGAAGGAGAAAGGGATTTACCTGAATCCTATCCAGCACCTCCCTTGCCAGCATTGTTTCTTTTGTTCTAAATGTTGGAATGGATTAAGTTTGCTGGTTACTCTCTAGAGTCTTTTTCCCCCCCTCCCTTCTCTAGCCCCTACTTCCTACTTCTCACTCAACCCCTCAAAAAGAGTGGGGATAGGTTTTAAAGAATCTGTGTATTAACATGGCTCTCTTCATTTACAGTCCCATATGGCACCTAAAATATTGCAGTTGTTAAGAGCTCAGTTCTAGTGGCCAGATTACCTAAGTATCAATCCACCTTTGCTCTTAACTAGCTGTGTGACCTGAAATAAGCTAGCAGATTCTTCTAGGCTGCAGCATCCACCAGATTGGCATGGACTCCTATTTCCTAGGGTGTTAGAAACTTAAGTGAGCTTATGTATATGGAAGTGCTTACAATAGGACTTGTTACAGAGTAAGTGCTAAGCAAAATTCACTCTGATTGTTGGACATGATTTTCCAAAGATCTCGGTCTAGGCTTTCTGGGCTGAAGAAGGTTAAAAACAGGAAATAAATGTGATCTTCCTGGGCACTTGTAAGATGCCAAATACTGAACCCAGAGCTTGCCTTATGGCTTTTATGCTTATGACCAGCTTAGGAATGGGCATCATATACCTACTTCACTGAACCAGTCTGCATCTCAGAGAGTTCAAGTTTGGACTTGGACCAAAGTCTTACAGGTTTTTGGGTTGGCACAGCCCATAGGGTCCTCGGGTCCTAAGTGCCCATTTCCTCTGCCATCAGTCCTTAGAGAGAGAGGAGTGACTTGTGTTCCTTTCCTCAATCTTGCTGCAGGACCTGCAGAATGTTTCTGTTTCTTTCATCATTTCTATGAGCTATTGTGTAGGTACAAGTTTAAAGAACGGTGAGAAGTAGGGACAGAGTCTTATCTCTAGAGATTTGCATTTGATCCAGCAGATTTGGTTTTCTTCTAGACTCAAAATGTCACTTGCCAGTTGATTACTGTGTCATCTGATTTGTCCTGCCCTTCTATTCTCAGTTTCCTCCTTTGTTAAGTGGGCACAGCGATTTCAGGGCCCTTCAGGGACATAAGCATGAAGAAAGTACCTTGCACAGTGCCAGCTTGTCAAGGGGACTCAGTCATGGGTAGCTGTGACTCGGAACAGCCACACTTCCAATTCCTATTTGTGAGCTTTGTCTTCTGAAAGGATCTGTTTGAGCCTTTTTTAAAAGGTGTTCTCTCCCAAGTTGCTGGGGAGTTTATCTAGTGTGGGTAGTTTCTGCTGGAGAACAACTGGACTTCAGATAATTTTTTTTTCACTGTGATCTCTTCTTGGACATACTGAGTGGCCCTTTGCCAGTAAGAGACAAACAGTCTAGAACCACTGAGACCTGCAAATAAGAAAACCTATTAGTGTGTCAGGGTAGCGTGCATCCCTAGAAGTGGAAGTCAGACAGTGACTCTAGATCTGTTGTTGTGTTTCCTGTTCCTTCCCCAGGTACCCTCCAAACCTCTTGGTCCACTCTACACAAGGAAGGAGGTCTTGAAGCCCAGAGTGGTAGGATGGCTATAACTAGTCCATGCCTAGATCAGCAGTCATTTGGCTCAAATAGCTCAATGTACAGTGGGGAAAC